CATGATGGCAGGTGCTGAGCTCAGCGGAATGGGGCGGGAGCCTCTGCTTTCAGAGCCGGCTTCTCCCACCTGAGACTTCTCCCCATAACCTCAAGGCTGGCCAGAGTCAGGACCGTTTTGCCATCACTGGGCATCCCCACTGGGCTGTTTTGCCTCATCCCACCAGCCACAACTCTCGGTTCGTTCTTCCTGTGTATGACAACTGTGGTGGCCGAAACAGCCCCAGTGCCCCAGCCCTGACGCCACACATTTCTCCCTCTTCCCCCGTGCTATGGACACAGTTGTGACTCCCATTTTAGAGGCCTGGCCGGAGCATGGGAGTCAAGTGGCCTGTCCCAGAACCCCCAATCGATTGGTGGCAGGAGCTCCGGGCCTTCTGTGCCCATGGTCCCCTGACGCCCTCAGAGCCTGCTGCTCATTTGGCTCTGGTACAGCACTGTCACCCCACCCTTGTCACCGGTGCCCTCCACGGTGGGCGCCCACACACAGGTTCAGAGATGCACTGAGCCAACCACTGCTGGGGAGGGCGGCGCGGGGCTTCCCCTCTCGAGGCAGGAAGTGGTGGGAGAGGTTTGAAAGCGTCCAAGAAGGGAAAACAACCCCGAGCAGTGAAGCAAAAGCCCGCCCCACCCGCCCACAGCACTCCGGCAGCGGCACCCAGCAGTGCCCGGGTGAGGTCTGACGCCTCTTTCTCTCCTTTCCACAGGCTTCTGGGACTCCTCACTGAACCCCCCACAAGGAAGTGGGGACCCAGCAGAGCCACCAAGAGACCCAGCCTCTGGAGCACCCCCGGCCTCTAGCCTCAGGTCCACCGCCCATTACCCAAACTGTTCCTGTGAAATCGAGCTGTCGGTAGGAAGTGACCGGCTGTGGTTTGTGAACCCCATTTTCATCGAGGACTGCAGTAGCGCCCTGCCCACCACGGACCAGCCTCCTGGAAGCTGCGCTCCGCGCCCCTCACCTCCCACCTCTGACGCTACCTCAGTCCACCTCCCTATTTACCATATGCTTGCATTCTCTCTGGAACACATCCATCAAGAGGCCCCCCAGGCCCCCCAAACCACCCAGGCCAGCCACCCATGGCAGCCTGTGAGAGGCCCCCACATGCCGCAGCAGATCTAGGCCCCCTCAGGGAGGAAGAGATGACGGTGGAGGCTGCGCCCAGCCCCTTGCAGCAGGCCCCTGCCCCTCCGCTGCCCGCCAAGAAGAACATGCCTGCTGCTCCTCCCAGACGTCGCTTCTCTGAGAGGGTGGCCCCAGAGGACCAAAGTGTGGGCATAGCAGCAGAGGGGCACCAGCTAGGCCTGCCCAGGGCAGCCCCACTCAACCTGCCTCCCCAGGGGGCCTCAGACAGCCCTGGGGACAGGCCACAGAGGACTGCAGAGCAAGACCAGGAAGCAGAAGCCAGATCTGGCGACCCAGGCAGCATGCCAGAGCTTCCCAGAAGGACTAGACTGCCCCCAGTCCCGCCCCCCAGGAAGAAACGGATTTCCCCGCAGCCGGCCACAGTCTTCCCAAGTACCTCAGAGAGTGCTAGGCTCTCCACGCAGGAGGTGACCTCCGAGAGACCCACGCCTGGTGTGCTCAAAGAAGGCCAAAGTCCCGCGTCCCAGGCTGGGGCCCCGCGCCCGCCTGCCCAGGCCAGTGCCTGCCCCCAGAGCTCTCCAGAGTTCAAGGGGTCCCTGGCCTCCCTCGCAGACAGCTTGGGTGTGCCCCTCTCGGCCGCCGACCAGGACTCCTACTCAACCAGCAGCACAGAGGAGGAGCTGGAGCAGTTCAGCAGCCCCGGCATGAAGAAGAAGCCCTCCATGCTCCTGGGCAAGGCGCGACACCGGCTGAGCTTCGCAAGCTTCAGCAGCGTCTTCAACGCCTTCCTCTCCAACAACCGCAAGCTGTACAAGAAGCTGGTGGAGCTGGCGCAGGACAAGTCCTCGTACTTCGGCAGCCTGGTGCAGGACTACAAGGTGTACAGCCTGGAGATGATGGCACGCCAGACCTCCAGCACCGAGATGCTGCAGGAGATCCGCACCATGATGACCCAGCTCAAGAGCTACCTGCTGCAGAGCACCGAGCTCAAGGCGCTGGTGGACCCCGGCCTGCACTCCGAGGAGGAGCTCGGTCAGTGCTGGCGTGGCTGGGCTGGGAGTGGGTGTGGGTGGAGGAGGGGGTCGCAGACCCAGGAACCCCTTAGGGCAGAGGAGGCCCATGTGGACACTGTCAGTGCCCTACACTCACCCCCTTTCCTGGGCATATGCACCTGTCTCCAGCTGCTGCCGGTGCTGCCAATGGGATGCAGCCATCCCCTTTTCCAGAGAATTGAACTTACCCCTTGTGATTGGAATGGCCACACTCCCTCTTCTGCCATCAGCAGCCCAGTCAGTTACTCCCTGCATGTGTGGGGGTGGCAGGGGTGAGGGTGTCTCCATCTGCTATTGTGTTGCTTAGAAATACTTGAGACTAGGTGATTTCTAAAGAGCTGAGGTTTAGGGGTAGCCCTGTAGCCTAGTGGTTAGGGGAGCCGTATCCCATGTGGTGACTGCAGTTTGAATCCCAGCCCTGGCGGCTTGATTTTGGGCTCCTGTACATGCCCCAACTTCTGACAGGATGAACTGGAGAAGGGATCGCGGTGTGACAACACCCTATTGGGGGGTCCTTTCTCTCTCTTTCTTTCTCTCTCTCTCTGATTCACAGTGAAAAATATATTTCACATCACAGTCAACTACATGTCTATATAAATATTAAAAATAGTCCGGTCCCAGGCCAGCCCATGGCATGGTGGTTAAGGTAGCTCAGTTCCACATGGTTGATTGTGTGATTTGAGTCCAAAATATAGCAGCTTGAAAAATATGCCAGGCACATGTGCATGTGTGACCAGAATTCCCAGAGGAAAATGGAGAAGGGATTGTCCTGTTATCACTCCCCCAAGGGGTGCTTTCTCACTTTATCTCTCTCTCTCTCTGGTGAGCGCATGTGCCCTATAACACATTTTTAAAATGTATGCATAGTGGACTGGCAGGTGGTGTGGTGGTTAAGGGCTCTGGACTCCCATATGGCCGACTGGGACTCAGGTCTTAGACCTGGCATCTTGCTTTCTCACCTTCTCTCTCTTATTCTTTCTCTCTGTCCCTCTCTGGCCAAATAGAAATAAATAAATAAATGGATACATAAAGTTAAATAAAATAATTCTATAGGGGGACCAGTAGATGGCGTAATAGTTACGTCACTAGACTCTCGTGTAGTCAACTGTGGTTCAAGTCTCAGACC